CGGTTTATTATAATCTTGAAATCCTTGTGGTTCTCGAACAAGAAGCAAAGCCTGATGTTGAGCAGCCAAACCTAATCCAGCAACTGGTTGAGCCGGTGGTGCTTCGCGTTGCTGACGTTCGTTCTCATTTTCCTCCATAGGCAATAAATAATGCTCTAGTTGGAGCAGTCGCCCAAAAATACAACACCAAATGCGCACAATTGTCTTCAAAATTGTTCGAGCATGAGTCTGTTCAAGTAGGGCTGGAAGTACTACCTGCAATAGATTCGTTCCATAACTCATCACAGAGAAATACGCCAAGCAACTTGTTGAATTCAAAATATAGATTGCATTACCTGTAAAACAAGTAGTTCCAAGGAGAGCTCGCTGAGAGGAGTTTCGGCGGCCAAACTCAAGTTGAATGGTAGTACAGATGGTATATAGCGCGTTATGAAACAAAGTGGAACATAAACTAGAAGCAGAATTGTTGTGAAGAAGATTGATGTTGATGCAATAAGTCGCCTCAGGTGTCGTATGACCGGTAGTTCAATCATCTAAATATTTAATTCACAGTTTAGGAAACTACACTAAAGTCCTAGGAAGATTGAATGAATGAGCTCCTTTAAATTTAAACATCTCAAAATGCAATTTCTACATTCCCCAATAGTACCAAAAATAAGTTTTTATGGTGTATAACTACCGCATACCTCTTGTATTGGGTTGAATTCCGGATCATTTAAATTTCTTAAAAACCAAAGAACGCCTGGACGAAGCACTTCGCGCAGAACCAACACAAAAGAAGCCGAATAGAAGACATAAACCATACCAATAAGCCAGTGCATGAAAAGGGATGATGTTGGGGACACCATAAACGAAGCAATCCGACGCGACAAATTTGAAGCAAATAGAGGCTGAAATAGAAGACAAGATACAAATAACAAGTACCTGCTAGTATAAGAAGTACTTCGCATAAGTAACAAACACGCACATATCATTTGACTAATTATTACATACTTAATATTCATCGTTATAGGAGTAAAAAAGTGCAATTTTGGGGCGATCAATGAGCTAAAATAGGAAAAATGCTAAAACTGTGTAAAACATACCAGCGAGCAGATGTCTAACCACCAGCCGCATATTATCGGAAAGAAACCAATTTCGGTAAGTACGAGGAGAAAAACTTTGAGAACAAGATAACACATACCCAATATTCGATACATTCTAAAGTATAAGGAGTTGGATTCAAAAAAATTCCGCTACGACCTGCTTTTTTTCCAAAGCATTTAAGGATTCTGTAAACTTACGGAGCTAATCTGGAGATTTTCGCTGTAACATGGAGACAGCGAACAATTAAACTAAGAATAAAATATCCGAGCAGCACAGATGTAAGTGTCGGGAAATACGCGATTCGGGATGCCAACCCAAAAGTTTTCAGAAAGAAATGACCAAGTTGATAAGGCAAGAATGCTGAAAATGTGATAAAAATAAGAAAGCAAATATAAACTATGTTGCAATCATCCTTACTACTTCCGATCTTCTTAGCCTTAAATAAGGATTTCAATATACATAAAAAAACCCCAAATCAAAAAAGACATACCGAATAATACAGTAAATAAAGTATTCAGCGAAATAACCCAAAAAACATGCTCAAGAAATAAGAGTGATCCATCCAGGCCAAGAAGCCTTTGCCAAGTTAATTCATCCGCTACCCTCTCCCATTCTCTCCAGTTATCATTATCTGCCTGATCCTGAATTACAGCATCTTCTTGACCCTGTATCACTTCATCTCCTTGCCTTTCTGCCTCTTCTTCTTCCATATCATTATCAGCAATTTCAGCCCTTGCTTCAGCAACCTGAAAGCTCTTTTAAAAATTCACAACTTTCTGCAAACAAAAGACCCTACTATCATATACATAAGTCCACTACCTAATATAACTAATTTAGTTCTCTTCAGCACTGATTACCTATTTATCAAAAACCAAAAATTAAGCAGCACAAAGAGAACGTTAAATTTCGGAAAAAGTCACTTACCACGACATCAATATTATCATCCAACGCATTTTCTGCATTCGCACCTCTAGCAGTATCTTCTAAATTAAGCCATTCCTGTGGGCCACCATGAATAATTTGTTCACGTAACCAAACAAGCGAAATAAAAGCGCATAGAAAAATCGAAACAATAAAGCAACCCTGAAGAAACGATATGCGAAAGAATGGTTTCATACAGAACACTTATTAACATTCCAAACAAATCTTCTATATTATTGTATTTACAATTTTTCATACATTAATGCAAAACCTCTAGTTATTTTTATTTAGCGCAAAGGGTTAGAAAAGACTTATTGTTTCAACTGTGAACCATTCTACGAGATACGATATAGAAATTCAGATTTTAAAGTTGAAACTTCGAACTTATTCAGCATAGTTCATTTCATAAGCCATGATATTGGCAATAGCTGAACAAAATATTATCCTGCGTCTTCCTTTCAAGTGAAGAAATCGTATTTCGCAATGACTTACTTTGAGACAATCGACCAGCAAATTGTCTAATGAGAATAGCTGAAAGGGTAATGATAGCATACTGGACAAAGAAGCGGAAAAAACTATTCTGTATATACGGCAGGCTGTTACTGGTACAATACCTAACCAAGCAACCAACACAAGCGTATAAAGTGCCCAAGAGCGTAATATACGACCCATATTAAGCAAAATGCCTAAAACAGTGCGACAGATGTGGTACAGCATGATACAAAAGAGAAGAGTTAATATAAGGTGATATTACAATAAAGAAATATTTTCCTCCAATATGAAGCATTCTGTTCGAGACTACGAATGTTCGGTTCCATTAATCTATGCAATAAATAGGTAAGGATTTCCATTAAACCTTTTATTATTTATGATAATAAGTTATCCCAGTTGAAAATTGCTTCAATTTTGAGATATATGCTATGAACCAAATGGACAAAACCACTCACAAGGCTGTGTTTTTAAAAGAAATTGAAATATAAGAGTGAACCTCGTATAATTTCCGAAAGTGGCAATGTTTGAGGCATATCTGATCGATAAATGGGTTGAAAAGAATATTTATGACTACATAATTCGCAAACTTCCTTTTTACTATATTTCAGCCATTCTAAAAGACAATCCTGATGAACATATTTGATGCTTCCCGTGCACAGGCATGGGTAATATAACGCACTGTCACCAGCACTTCTGCAAACTCGACATATGTCTGAAACTAACAACATGAGCATTTCGTTCATTATCACTTATCATTATTAGTATTAACATCCATTAGTTTCATCATGTATTATCCTCCTAGTAATTTCATCAGTCCAATAAGCAAACTTTTCAAGTAAAATGTATTATTCGATCTCAAACCTTGTTCAAAAACTTTCTACAATGAAGCTATCAGATAACATATTCTGGCTGCAAGGAAGCACTACAAGTTCCCAGTAGTATTACTAACAATTTTTCATAAAGAGCCAATGTCCGCGAGGAAATCGATATCGATTGATTACAATAAATTTTTATCATTCATAAATTTTTGTTTTTTTTCAGAGAAACTTTGTAAGGGGGATTCCTCAAAAACAAAAAAGAGAAAAAAAGAAAAAAGAACGAAAAATACCGGTAGTTTCCCCCTCATCCGCCATTTCTGAAGTACCAGCAACGGCATTCAATGTAGTATTACTTGAACCGTTGTCAATGCCTTCCATCAATTCAGTGTATGACCTGAGAATTATTAAAATTCTTTAATGGCAAAAACGTTTGTGTAACTTATCCTTCTCTGTGTCCAATCAAGCACTAATATCTCCAAACAGACCCATTGTACTAGATATAAATCGTTTTGTTTAATCTAATTGGCCTGTCAGTTATACAATAATGACAGATGGGAGAGAGGATAAAAGTGAAAATAAGAGGGAAAGGAAAAAATGGACGAATTCTGCGACTTACTACGGTAAAAGAGATGAAAATTGTCATAAATACCGAGTAATTGCTTTTATTTCATTTTCTCCATCGCATAATAACTATAGTTAAATAAATGCCTAACAAAGACTGAACTATTCATCAATCAGATAGCTTCCCATTCAATTTAACAATTATCATTTAGGCAGTACAATAGATGATGGACGCAAAAGGTGCAAAATTTAATTTTAGCTTTCAGTGTGATATAAGAAAGTCTTTTTACTGTTGTTTCCTCCCATAGCAACAAAGAAGTCACCGCACTCTCGTAGAGCACAATCAAACGTTGTCATTAACAACAAACCGTTTTCTCGTATAAGTCACAAGGTGCAATTAAAGAAATAAAATAAAGTAAAGGTATAAGTAGAAATATATTTAAAGTTGAAATCAGTTACTTAAATTGATAAAAATACGAATGGCAGAAATTCATTTTAGATGAATGACATCACTAACCTCGATTGGAGATTTGCCAACTGTTGAAGAATTTGCCGTGAAAGCCACTATCAACAACAGTTCGATTTCAAATTTTGGATGTAACAATTGTTTTAAGGAATTCACGATTGCTTCCTCCCCACTAGTATTCGAAAAACCGGCTCCCACGTCCGGTACCAGGTTAACAACAACACAATGCCACTAGCTAGCTAATATTATCGCCTACGTCTGCGTATCACTTGATTCGGAACGCTGTGAAAACTTTGAAATCGTTTCTGTATTACTGGAGGTTTGCATGCATGTTGATGACGTGACGAGAGAGAAGTTGATCAATACTGGTGGGCGTGAGAAAACCGATTGGTAGCCACATTTGCGCTTTTTTCTTCCTCCCACTCTTATTTCTAATGGCATACCTATTGTGATATAGTGTTACATACACGTCTCTAACATTTCCAGCTGTTTAGAGTTCGTTTGTTTTCAGTAAACAATCAGCTGATAATAAAAATCACAGGATAGCGTGGTTTGATATACCACGCATACAGACTCGTATCAAGGAATACATAGTGTTATATACATGCACAAAGGGACCCGTATCACAGCACAGGTTGGCAAAGATTTGATAAATTTTTCAGGTATGACCGAATTGATCAACTAATGTCGAAGTCTGGAGTGCAATGTAGTTCCAATGTGAGAAATGACAGATGGTGATGGAAGAAAATAGGGAAGAACTTATGGAGAGTTCAGCGAAAATACCGGTAGACAATGAGCTGTCCTCTCCTCTTCTGCAACAAATTGATAACGTCATTATTCAGGTAGGATAGGTTGCATCTTTTGCTCTAACGTGTTATATTTTTGCGTTTATATTGTTTGAAAACGGGAACGAAGTGATGGGAATGATGAACAATAGACGCCCCTGTTAGTAAGATAGATGAATTGCTTAACAGATAGGTTATTAACATAGAAGATATCGGCTTATAAGGTCCAGTTTCGGGAACTTATTTCACATTTAGTCATTTGCAATTGTAAAGTAGACATATGAAACCATTTAGGCATTTAATTTACAGACTAAGTTGTCAGTGGTTAAACATCTGAAGTTGTTGTGTTGTTCATCTATATTATATTTCAATCCTCTGTGGTTTTTGCATTTTCCGTTCAGATAAAAATCATAGTTGACTTTAAAACCGTATACAGAATTTGGAATACCCATGGAAAGATATAGAGGACACGAAACCGACAGATTTGGAATATGAACTCTTCTGTGGTGCTTTGGAATCATTTTGGTCTAAACCACTCATTGAGCTTATGTAAGTTACTTTTAATTAGTTTGGTCCGACTACAAAATTTGGTGTGTTATGCACTGTACCATTAACTGCCTTCGTTTATATATCATAATGTTGTTTGTTTTTGTTTTGGATTCGTTTCTTTGCCAGCAGTATAAGTTCTCTCAATTTTCAGTGACGACTGGACGATTTCTATGGAAACTATCTTACCAACCATACGAAGTAGTATACGAATTTATACCAAGGCTGCATCCTGTGAAGGCATGTACTCACTATGAATTTTACTTGTAATTTAATATTGAACTGCCAAAATTTGAAAGTCTTAAACAAGAAATAAACTTTAGTATATGAATCCAATACTGACAGCTTTAGTACCAAAATTAAGCTCCGAAATCAGTCATGTGGATGTGACCGTGCAGGTTTAATAGTTTGTTTATTGCATGTACTTTGAAGTTTATAAATGGATTTGGAATTTTGAATGATGAAATAACATGCGAGTACATTTACAGGTATTGAATGCCATAAGTGAATTGGCGGTTGCAGGTGGTGCTGATTTGGT